CCGCTGGCCTTGTCGGCGGTGTCTTGCGTCGCTGACAGTCCCGGCATGTCCTCACATAACGAGTGACGTCGGTGGTAAGACGTGGCCAGTAGTACCTTTCTTGTATCCTCGCGAGCGTGCGGGAAACACCGAGGTGCCCTGCCGTCGGATCGTCGTGCAGGGCCTGCAGGAGTTCTGGTCGCAGAGCTGAAGGCACCACAAGGAGGTACTTAGCTCGAAGCGGTGAAAAGTTTTTCTTTTGAAGAAGACCGTTTCGTAGAAAGAACGACGCAAGTGCGCGCTTGAATACATTCGGGACTTCGGCGGTCCTGCCTTCAAGGTATTCTATTAGGGCTTTAAGTTCCGGGTCGGCCCGCTGTCGTTCAGCGAAGTCGTGGGTAGTTATCGTTCCCAAGAAGTAGTCGTCATCCGAGTCGTCGGGTAGCGGTTCGTCGACAGGCGCACGAGAGAGACAGTCAGCGCCGGAGTGTTTTTTGCCGGACTTGTAAATGACAGTAATGTCATATTCTTGAAGTCTCAGGCTCCATCGTGCGAGGCGACCTGAAGGGTCCTTCAAGGTGGCTAGCCAACACAAGGCGTGGTGGTCGCTCACAACTTTGAAGGGCCTGCCGTAGAGGTAGGGGCGAAATTTCGACGTAGCCCAGATGATGGCGAGGCACTCCTTTTCTGTTGTGGAATAATTTGCTTCTGCTTTGGATAGCGATCGGCTGGCGTAACTAATAACCCTTTCAAGTCCGTCAGCCCTCTGCACAAGAACGGCGCCAAGACCTACGCTGCTTGCGTGAGTATGTATTTCTGTCTCGGCGAATTCGTCGAAATGGGCAAGTAACGGAGGCGTCTGGAGGTGATGTTTAAGCTCCTGGAAAGCGTGTTCCTGCGGCGTTTCCCACTTAAACTCCACGTCGGCCTTGGTAAGGTTAGTGAGAGGATCGGCGATGCGGGCGAAGTTTTTCACGAACCGCCTATAATAGGCACACAGGCCCAGAAATCGGCGCACGGCTTTCTTGTCAGTGGGCGGCGGGAAGTCGGCGATAGCGGCTGTTTTCCGTGGATCGGGACGAACTCCAGACTTGCTGATAACGTGCCCCAGAAACAAGAGCTCCTCATACGCAAATCTGCACTTTTCTGGCTTCAGTGTGAGTCCGGACGTCTTGATGGCTTGAAGTACCGCTTCAAGGCGCCAAAGATGCTCGTCGAAACTCGAGGAAAACACGACGACGTCGTCCAAGTACACAAGGCAAGTGTGCCACTTCAATCCTGCCAGTACTGTATCCATAACGCGTTAAAAAGTTGCAGACGCTGAGCAAAGGCCGAAGGGCATGACCTTAAACTCGAAGAGGCCGTCCGGTGTTATAAACGCCGTCTTCTCTCGGTCTCTTTCGTCGACTTCGATTTGCCAATAGCCAGTCTTGAGGTCCATTGACGAGAAGTACTTGGCGTTATGGAGCCGATCAAGGGCGTCGTCTATTCGTGGGAGAGGATACACGTCCTTTTTGTGATTTTGTTCAGGCGGCGATAATCGACGCAGAAACGTAGGGTCCCATCCTTTTTCTTCACTAATACCACGGGGGATGCCCACGGACTCTTGGACGGCTGGATAATGTCATCTCGCAGCATTTCATCAACTTGTCTCTTCATTGCCTCACGTTCTCGCGTCGAAACCCTGTACGGACTCTGACGGAGTGGTCTGGCATTTTCTTCGGTTATGATTCGATGTTTCGTGATTGGGGTCTGCCGAATTTTCGATGACGACGAAAAGCAATCTTCGTATTGCAGGAGCAGGGCCTTGAGCTGTTCTTGCTTATCGTTCGGAAGTCTGGGATTGACGTCGAAAGCTATGGGAGGGGCTTGGTTCCTCTGAGCAGGTTCCGCAGAATCGGCGAGGGCGAAAGCACTGGTGGCTTCGACAATTTCTTCGATGTATGCGACCGTTGTTCCTTTGTTCACATGTTTGTAATCATTGCTGAAATTCGTGAGCACAACCGTTGCTTTGCCTCCCCGCAGCTCTGCAATTCCTCTTGCGACGCAAATATTTCGGGTGACCAACAGATGCTGACTGCCTTCAACGACGCCTTCCAAGTCAGGTGATTTAGGAGCGCCGACTGAAATAATGACGCTTGAGCGAGGCAGAATGGTGACTTGTTCTTCCAGCACATTCAAGGCATGGTGTCCTGACGGCGTGCGCGGCGGTAGTGCTTCTTCTGTGGATAACGTTATCGACCTTGTTTTTAGGTTGATGACAGCACCATGGAGGCATAAGAAGTCCATGCCAAGGATGACATCTCTCGAGCAACGCTGTAGGACTACGAAGTCTGTCGGATAAATACGGCTGTTAATGGTGACTCTCGCTGTGCAGATTCCTGCAGGCGTTACGAGATGACCTCCGGCTGTGCGGATTTCAGGGCCTTTCCAAGCTGTCCTAACTTTCTTTAACTTCGCGGCGAACGACCCACTGATGACAGAATAGTCGGCTCCAGTATCGACGAGAGCAGTCACACTGTGGCCGTCGATAAGAACGTCGAGGTCGCTAGTTCGCCGTCTCGCATTACAGTTAGGGCGTGGCGTCGGGTCACGGCTGCGTCGGCTTGTTCCGCTGCTTCCATGTTGCGTCGTCCGGCCACCTTCATTAAGTGAGCTTTTGCCTTCAGGGCTTTGCCTGGTTGGGGTTGTGTTCAAAAAGCTCCATCGCGTCGGCATCGTCGTCGGAGGATCTTCGGTAGTTCATCGCACAGCAACCGCACCTCCATCGGTTGCTGCCCTTAGTTTCCCGGATACGGGCTAGGAGACCGGCCCCGCGTTGGGCCAGAGTACTGCCGGGGGTGCGGTGGCATGCGGCGGCTGGGCGACGGCGAACGGGAAGGACTTCGTGGTGTCCATTGAGTTCCTGCCAGGTAGTCGGCGATGTCACGTGGCCGATCTCCTGGCTGCGGACGCGGTGCATTGACGGCGAAGCCACGCAGTCCCATCTGTCGGTACTGGCAACGGCGGTATGTGTGCCCGGCCTCGCCGCAGCGGTAGCAGAGCGGGCGGTTGTCAGGTGCACGCCAAACGTCCGTTTTCCTCGGTGCACTGCGCTGGCCCACTGGGGAACGGTAGGACGTCGGTTGGGGTGGTGGCGGCGGTGGCGTCTGGCGACGGAAGTGTGACGGGGCGGTGTTTTGGCGTGGACGGGGAGGAGCGTTGTGGCGCACTGCAGCGGCGTAGCTCATAGTTTCTGGCTTGGGCGGCGGTGTTTCGGGAATTCGAAGCGATTGCCGGACTTCTTCTCGCACAATGTCGGCGATCGAATCCACTTGAGGCTGCGCCGAAGGCAACAGTTTGCGCAGCTCTTCCCGCACGATCGCTCGGATCGTTTCACGCAGGTCGTCGGAGTCACTGGCTTGAGCAGCAGCGCATTCTGGAGTCAGGCGACGATTATACTGTCTGGTGCGCATGTCCAGCGTTTTTTCGATGATGGTCGCCTCAGATACAAATTCTTGGACGGTGTTCAGTGGATTTTTCATTAGTCTCGCGAAGAGCTCCTGTTTGACCCCTCGCATGAGGAAACGAACTTTCTTTTCCTCAGGCATGTCTGGGTCAGCGTGACAGGATAGGCGGGTCATCTCCTCTGTGAAAATTCCAACCTTTTCATTTGGTAGCTGAACTCGGGTCTCGAGTAGAGCAGCGGCCCTCTCTTTGCGAGCGATGCTTGCGAACGTTTGAAGAAATGCGCCGCAGAAGACATCCCACGTTCGGAGCGTGGACTCCCGATTCTCTAGCCAGGTCCTTGCGGTGTCTTCCAGGTAGAAGTACACACGACGGAGCTTTTCTTCGTTGTCCCAGTGATTGAGGGTGGCCACACGGTCGTATGTTTCTAGCCAGGTTTCCGGGTCTTCAAAGGATGAGCCATGGAACGTTGGTGGTTCCCTGGGTTGATGAATGACGATCGCGGGCTGGGATGATCCGGTTGTCATTGTCGCTGCAGTCGAGATCATGGTCTTGGTCTTCCGTACCTTGTCTTGTAGCAGGCCGTACTCCGGTGGGAGACCCTGCTGTCGGCGGCTCGTTCGCTACTCTTGGTTGGCGTCGGTGTCTTCTCCGCGAGGGGGCTGGGTTCACGGCTTGACGGGGGCGTCGGTATATGAACGAAGCAGCACCTCCACCAGATCTCACGGGGTCGTGACGTGGCCAAAGACAGAAAACTTTGTGTCGGGATTTACCTGTTTATTTGGGCAAACCTGTGCCCGGTATAGGGAAAGTCTAATTACAGCAGCAGTCTTGCACAGATAGCAGTCTCGGACTGATAGCGGCGAACGCAGCGTCGGCCTTTGATCAACAACTGACAAGCGGCGAAGCGCGTCGGCATTTATACCCTTGCCGTCGAATGTTCTAGCGTTATCGCTGGTGGTGGCGTAGGTACCAGAACAATCTGTACCGTTCGCACAGTGGGTGTGATCTTATCGAAATGATCTACTACAGTCCGGAACCTTCTCGAAACCTGCAGGCGCGGTTTGCGCCGAGAATCGTGTGGTGTTTCGGAACGATAACAAAAACTTGTGAAATGGAACGTGGCAATATATACAAGAGCAAGGTTCGCAGGCTCTTGAGGCTTCGGGGGAAGCATTACTCCTCCAAAAAGTGTGTCTTTCAGCACGGTCTAGCTCGAACCCCGGCACTATCTCCATTTCGTCCAAAAAAACGACGCAGTCCTTTTCGACATTCTCCATAGTCTCAGCTTTGCATTTCATAACAACGATCACTTCGTGAAGAATGCCTGGGAGGCATGGTGATGGGAATCACTAGAGTTTGCTGACAGTTTCACTGCGGTGTCGCTGAGTTCCATGGCGTCGTGTCCGTAACGCGACATTCCTTCCAGTAAAAACTCATGAAATGCATGGCTTTGTGAGCCTCTCGCGGTATCTCAACTGTAGCTGGAGATTGACGTAGCCTCAGAGCAGACTTGCTGGTCTCTCCACCGGAGGGTGTGGGCACAGTTTTTTCCTTTGGTGGCCTTCGTTCCTTGGGCAGCGGTGAAAGCAGAAACATATGTATTTTTAAATGTTTCCATGTAATGCAAGTTTATGTCAAGCCTGTCGTTAGTTTCATAACGTAACCAATGCTGCTGGTATCTGAATGGTCATTAAACCTAGGAAGGTCATTCTCAAAGCTGGGAAGGTTGTTCCCCCATCCTTTTCCCCTGGTATAGGGAAAAGCTTGTTTCACCCTATTAATATTCATTGAACCGTGGACTTCATTGTACACTTTGCTAACTGACTAATTTTTGCCTAATGCATATTTACGGAGTTTCCACAGTATCATAACCAAATTGTATTAAAAATTTGTCCCTACAGAAAAAAGCCTCTAATTTGAATCCGAGCTCCATGTGCCCCAAGCTAGATGTGGGCCATGAGAGGGCGTTAGTGGAGGGCTTAAAATAAAGTAGGCCACCAGGTATCTTTTCACGTACATTGTGGTCTCGTGTACATGAGTGTTTTTGTTTGAGTAAAATAGTCACTACACGTGAGATTATAACAAGTGCACAGCCTCGTGCCCGATAGCGGAAAGCTGCTGCCAGTGTGGCTGGTCATTGCCTTGAGACCGTGAACTACACTCAGACGTTTACAATGTATGAAGTAATTTGGACACAGCATAAACGTTCCTCTTTGGTTTTAACCGTATTGAAGTTGCAGCTTCATGCACACAATGCCTGTAATCGATACTTCATAATGTAATGCCAGAGTAAACTTAAAAACATACGTCTGAAGGAGAACAAAGCTGGGACTGCATTCGTTTTCAGCTTTTTCCAACCATCCACTCGGTTTTGCTAGTAGTTCTTCGGTTCAAAGTGAGCCTGCAAAGAAAATTAGAATTGGGTGTTGATGGGTGCTTTTATATTTGATATAATACACCAGCCTTCTACCTAGCGCATTTTCTTACAGCGGGGTCGCTACCCCGAATGGCTCGTGTACTGTACAAAGGCCGCGGACAATATGCTGTCCGACGCTTGACTACTTGACGTTGCCTACGCTCTCAACAAAGAAATAATGGTGCGCCAAGTAATGCTGGCTAATCAAATTACCACGCATTCAAAAAGAAATATTTACTTACGCTGCAAATGTGTGATGCATTCATCGGACGCCACTTGTCACGCTTGACTTTTACCGTCCAAAGAAGCCGTCTTTTTGGGTCTCTTGGAAATCGGTACAGCTTCCAGCCGTTCCTAGAATGATTGCTGCACCGCGGCACACAGCACCCGGGCATGGTGACGCAAGCGAGCGCAGAGACACGAGCGAACGCAGAAACACGAGCACCGACCAAAAAACAACACGCACGCCACGCACAAGTGACCGGGTTGGGGATCCAGAATGGCAGCCACGCTGCCGTCAAGGCAGAGGAGGCGGCAGCTGCCCTTTCAAAACTGACTCCACTCAAAGCGGGGGCGCGCGCATCGAGACACTCTAAGCAAAACGGAATGGCAGCGCCACTAGTTCTCGCGTCAGCCACTTGTGTCGGCGTGCGCGCAGCTGTGAAATTTGACCTGGTCCTAGCAGGAAAGAAAAATTAAGTAGAGGGCATGGCGTCATATTGGTGAAGCCACAGCATCGAAAAGCTCCTCGCGGAGAAGCAGATAAACACTTCGTGATTTCCGGCGAGCAGCGCCGCAGCCATCTCAGAGGCCTTGGAAGCAGCGCCGGCGGAGTGGTAGGTGGTCGCTCCCAGCGGCGAGTCAATTCACGAGTGCTGCTTCTTTTGCGCGTTTTTTAGGAAAGCTGTGCCGCGGAGCGTCTGCTGTTTTGTTTGCCCCATACCGGTTTGTTTGCCCCTTAACTTTGACGTCACTTTGACGTCGTGACGGCGATGCGCGCTCATCTCCGTACGAGTACATTGCCCCGAGGCGTTGGGGAAAAGCGCTCACACGTGCGAGCGCTTATCTTGCGGTGGGGGAGTGTCGTATGCCTTCGGTTTACTTGGGCTTTCAGCGGAAGAATAACGCCGTAGTTATCGGGCGCATAAAGGTCACTTAGCTGGCTGCTCAGCCCCGTTAGCAAAAAGAGCACGCATTTAACACACAGCGAAGTGACACTTGTTAGTTCGCGTTCATCTGTGCCTGTGAGTACGTTCCGTGCGTTGTTTTTATTTGACCAGCGCTCAAGTGTCGAGCTGTGAAGGTGTTTTCGTGCTTCATATATGCGTTAGCAGCGCTCTGCAAGTTTCAATCTGCTTGCCAACCTTCACGTGAAATTCACATTTGTTGCTATCGAACTTATTGTTCAAGGACGAAACTGTGACTTTTCAGTTATATGAACATCGTATAATCCCCACTCGCTCGCTCTCACCTTCAAGGTTGCCATTTGCTAAGCTGATATCATTGCAGAGCAAAATGAGAGCGAGTGTGACAACAAGTTGAATTGATAGACACCTGATGATGAATGATATGTGGGGTTGAACGTCCCAAAACCACCATATGATTATGAGAGACGCCGTAGTGGAGGGCTCCGGGAATTTCGACCACCTGGGGTTCTTTTAACGTGCACCCAAATCTGAGCACACGGGCCTACAACATTTCCGCCTCCATCGGAAATGCAGCCGCCGCAGCCGGGATTCGATCCCGCGACCTGCGGTCAGCAGCCGAGAACCTTAGCTACTAGACCACCGCGGCGGGGCGAATGGATGGACACCTGCAAAAACAAACAAACCGTCCCACGATAACTTAAAAACGCATCAAGATCAGCGCCGCTGTGTAAGCTTAAAAAGCGCTTTGCTAAGCGTTTTACTGGTGTAGCTCATACTGAGCACGTACGTATTGGGCTCGGGGCGTCTTCATTCGTCATACTTTCGCCTTGGCTTCAGACAAGGCCTACTCCCACAGTTATCGTAGATTTTTTTTCTTTGGCATTATCCTCTTAACACTTCTGCACTTTTACAGTGCTAGTTTTGTGAAAATTCCTATTTTATACAGGTCCCTCACTTCGTTTACCTTTTTTCTGAGCGAATAATTTTTTGTCCTGAGTCTCCCGTGGTTCTCCTCAGTATATATTTCACATTTTTTTGTTCGCTTCATCCTTTTTGTAGTGACATTTCTCAGTGCTGATTTCGTAAACGCTCTAATTCCTTCGGGCCCCTTAATTTCTTTACCTGTTTTCTGAACCAATGAATATTTCTTTGTTTTTGCTGTTGTGTAAGCATTTACTTGACAAGTTTATGCTTGGCTTTTTTTACATTGTGCCGCTTTCCTCCTGTTTTTAGCCCTCCACTTCTCCCCCATTTCTGCTCATTGCTCCTCAAATTATATCTTGCTGTAAGGTTCCTTAGCTGCCCTGGAATGATGTCCATCCAATGACACCTTCCGCCCCCCATCCGCATTCGGTGCAATTCCTGAGCTCCCAGCCGAGGCTATACATACGCAGTGGCGCTTATTTTCCAACCTTTCCTGTACCACTTATGTCATGCATAATGTTGCTTGATGTGCGGGGTTCAACGTCCCAAAACCACCATATGATTATAACTGACGCCGTAGTGGAAGGCTCCGCAAATTTTGACCACATGGGGTTTTATAACATGCACCCAAATCTTAGCCCACGGGCCTACAACATTGCCGCCTTCATCGCAAATGCAGCCGCCGCAGCCGGAATTCGCTCCCGCGACCTGCGGGTCAGCAGCTGAGTACCTTAGCCACTAGACCACCGCGGCAGTGCATGCATAACGTTTAGTTGCTCTACAGGAGACTAGCAACAATCCTTATTATATAAATTCCTCTCACCACCTGGTGGCTATTAGGTTCTGAGCACCTTTGCTCTACTTGTCGGCATCTGAGGTCGTCATGGTGTGTCATGTAGTCATGGTTCACCATGAACGGGTGTGTGCCACAAAAAATAGTGAATCCTACAACTTTACACCGTTTCACTATAAATAAAGGCAATGGTTACTCAACTAATACTGCACCGCGTTATTGGATGCCAAAAGCAGCATACACACTGTAACACGGAAAACATGCAGCAAGCTAAGCGTCGGGCTTTCATAAGCTGGTCGTCCCTGGAACTCTCCGTTTTCATGCAATGCACATCGAGTACATAATTAACAAAATGGGCTCAGTATGTGTTAGCATGCCTCGGTAGCATTCTTTCAAAAATAATTTAGTAGCCTAGAGCCCCTATTTTGATCATGCTGCTTTATCACGTGACTTTGTTTTCTGTTCATTATTTTTCTTGTAGTTTTATAGTCTTGTTGATAGTTACGTGCACACATTTTTTACAAATCGCTTTTCGGTGGTTGTTGCCTTTCGGAGTCCGGTTTTACCTACAGTTATGCCATGGTACTTTTCGCCCTTTTGTGCTCGTGTATTCGATTACATGTTTTAAACGCTTATTCATACTGACGATTATGCCGGCCAGCTGAGGCACATGGCAGCATTTGTGTTTTCGCTTTTTATTTTTTTGTTTTTCGCCTGCCTCGATAATCCTTGCCTTTCCACTTAAGAAACTAGTTGATAGTCAGTGCTCACTCCTGTGTGTTCTTCTTCCCTTTTTCTGCGGTGTTCTGCCGGTAAATTCGGGAGCCAACTAGGCCACCTAAGCAGCCCCGCCGCGGTGGTCTAGTGGCTAAGGTACTCGGCTGCTGACCCGCAGGTCGCGGGTTCGAATCTCGGTGGCGGCGGCTGCATTTCCGATTGAGGCGGAAGTGGTGTAGGCCTGTGTGCTCAGGTCGTCGAAATTTCCGGAGCTCTCCAGTACGGTGTCTCTAATCATCATATGGTGGTTTTGGGACGTTAAACCCTCACATATCATTATCATCGTACCGATCGACTTCGACTGTTTTACATGGAGTACACTGCAATCTATTATGTTGCAGAATGCTTGCAAGGACTTGCTCAAAGTACCCAGAGCTTGCAGTGCACTTCACGCTGGAGGGGTTGTCAATACGGTGGGGAGTGTGCGCAAATTTGTCCTATTGGGCATGCGCGCAACACGCGCTTCTGTGCGCGCTATCGTATTAGTTTGTCTTTCTTTTCTTCTCTATTCCTTGCCTCCCACTTACTCCTACCTCGGTGCAGAGTAGCGAAATGGTTGGAGCCTGGTTAACTTCCCTACCTAATCTTTGCCATTCTTTCTCTTCTGAACTTGTGACTGAAGTATTCTCTGAAAACTCGGGACATGCAGGTGTCCTTGAGCTAATCGCTCCACCATCCGCCATTAAACTCCCAGATGTCATGAATGAAAAAAAAATAGCAGATCTCACGCACTTCGGAAATCGATATTTTTTGCGAATCATGCAGATGTGAAAGGCAATATGAAGTGACGCTAAACGTATGCAGAAATCCACGCACGCGCACAGGTTAAAGAGCCGCATATGTTTCATATTAGCAGTAGTCTACAGTTACGTAATGATGCCAACAGCAATGTGGATATTAGCAACACCAGGTGCGGTATACTGATATGAAGCGCTGCTGTTTGCTCTGGTGCGTGCTAACATGGTAGCCCTCAACACTATTACATAAATCGACTTCAGTGGATGGCGCCTGACTAGAATTATGTTAACCCGACATAACAGCTGTATCATGGGAGTACATATGTAGTGTTAATAAAATCGCATATCCACTACTGCAACCACGATTGAAGTTACACGAATCATACGGTCAATATGAAAAAAAAAAGAGCTAGGCCTGGCGTGGCTCCGTTGTAAAATGCTTAATTGCCACACAAAAGGCTTTTGTTCGATTGCTGATGGAACATTGGCATTTATTGTTTCCACTTGTATGGCAAACGCTGCTTATGACAGCTTTTTCTTAACGCTCAAGCAATATAGTTGTCTATGTGTGTTCACGCCGTTTCTGGATACACAGTAAAAATTTTTACACCAGAAGGGTGTAAATGAGCTTGTCCCGTGAACGACACTCTAAGGGTGCCAATTCAGCACCTTCCAAAAAGGGTGCTTTTTCATGCACCCTTAGAATAGGGTGTACATGTAAAAAAACTGTAGGGTGTTACAAAAACACCCTTAAGGAAGGGTGCCTTCGATGTCCATCACTTTTTTAGCACCCTCTGAGGAGGTTGCGAGAAGGATGCACAAGGGTGTTGAGTGCCCATGGCAGGGGTGCCAGTATTCTTTTAGACTGCACTAATAGATATAAGCATGCACTGATTACACACTACTTGAAGACAGTGGTCGTGATTATCAATGGTGCGCCACCTGTCGAGCTCCATTCATTGCGTCTGGGCAAAAATATAAACGCGTACTATCGTGTATGAACTTGTGCTGTATCTATATATACTTCACAGTATATGCATAATGCGCGTTAGAGAAAATGAAGCCTTGCTGCCCTTGCATATTGCGTTTATTTAATAGGCAATTAAAACATAAACTTTACTTCTGCCACACAACTTTTTCACCAGATATACGTTCACCCATACGTACACTACACATGCAACACCTCAAATGTTTATTATATTTATTCAGTTTCACTTCATTGACAATTCTTTGCAACATACAATTACATTGGTTTCAGTTTAGTATACTGCTTCAAGTACACAGAGACTACAAATGAAATATACGCTAATATATCCCTATAATTCTTTCAAGTATCTACAATCCTAGTGGTTTCCAATTTAATACTCCTTCATGTACACAATCGGTTAATAGGAATGAAATACAGGCAAATATATACTTATGATTCTTTCAAATATATACAATCACCATGATTTCAC